CACTGCTCGCTCATCGTTCCTAGTAACATACTGCTTATTAAATGTCTATGAATTAAGTATTCTGTATACTCTGTATACCTGTCCGAAAATTCTAACGTTTATGTAAAAGTTATTCTTACTGGTTTTGGTATGACCCCGATTTGACTTTAATAAATACTATATTTATTGCTATTATTATGATTATTGTTATCTTTCTTCAGCAACGGTCACCAGGCCTGGGCTGCATACTCTGAGTGGGGCTTGACGAATGTCCCATAGGTTTTTCCGAACAGCTCTTTATCGATCTACACAAATCCACGCCTCAGCGCAAATAACTCCCTTATCGCACTTTGGTTGCCTTTTGACACTGCGATGATAGTATCAGCGAGGAGGTCATCAGGACGCTGAGGTCTGTCTATGTTGGAGGCAGAGCCCTTGATGACAGTAGTTATGCACAGTGCTTTCGCAGATTCGTACTCAACAATAAAATTGCAGGCATTTACAATGTGATCGAGTCACAGTTCAATCGTAAATATAAGGCAGTGCATAAGGTCACTGTAAATTAGTACGGAAAGTTTTTCACAAAAATGGTTATGGATGGTCATGCTGTAAAAGCCTATTTCTGTCGAAAACTAGACGGGCGAGTTTTCATTTAAACAAACAAATTGTGTCAGCCGTCACCATCTCGCTTGGAAGCGAGTTCCACGGTCTGACAACCCGCTGGCTGAATGAAAATTTTCGTCGGTCTAAACGTGTGCGCTCATTCCCGACTTTGAATGCATGGCCGCGTAGTTGGTTTGTACGGGCGAACTCAAAGAAGTCCTCTGCTCTTAATGAGCAGCCCTGTCCGCGGACAATCCGGAACGTCCAAAGTAGACTGCAGTTTATTTGTCTATAAGAGAGAGGGAATAGGCCAAGCAAATTCAGCCTCTCCTGATAAGACAAATGCTTAAGACCGTCGACCATCTTTGTCGCTCTGCGTTGCACCTGTTCGAGTAAGTTGATATCCTTCCTCATCCATGGTGAAGCTGCTGGCATTCCATACTCTAGATGAGGTCTTACAAAGACACCAAAGAGTCTTTCGAAAAGTTCGGGAGGAAATATTTTAAATGCACGTCTGATCCAGTGTAGAGTACTATTTGCCTTCTGGATCATCTTTCTACAGTGTTCTGATGGCGATAGATTTGTGGTCGTCCATACACCCAGATCTCTGTGTCTTTCCACCGTTTCTAACCTCGTCGCGTCAATATAGTACTGGTGTTTGGGAGAGGCATTGCGGCCGGTGCTCAGGTACAAGACCACGCATTTGGCCACGTTAAACTTCAAAAGCCGTCTGTCCGACCAAGCACACAGTTTGTCGATGTTCGACTTCAACTTCTCTGCGTCATCATCATAATTGACTTCACTCCATCTTTTTATGTCATCCGCGAACATGAGGGCCTCGCAATTCACTTCGCTGATGCAGTCATTAACATAAATCAGGAAGAGTTATGGGCCTAAGACAGAAGCCTGTGGGACACCATTTTCCACCTTTGCCCATCCCGACATAGAGTTACCAACGACGATTTTTTGTACTCTAGAGGACAGAAAACTCCTGATGCATTTGAACATTCTTCCTTGAATTCCTACATCCCAGATCTTCTGTAAAAGAAGCCTCTGTGGGAAACTGTCAAAGGCTTTCTTGAAGTCAAAAAATATGACATCTACTAGAAAACCTTTATCGGTAGCTCGTGTCCATTTCTCGTGCGAGTAAAGAACACTCGTTAGGCAGGAGTGCCCTGGACGAAAGCCGTGTTGGGCATCACACAATATTTTGTTCTGTTCCAGGTATTTCATCAAGTGTCTTTTGATATTGCGTTCCATTATTTTGCACGCGATGCAAGTAAGACTGACGGGACGATAATTTTCGCAGTCAAGTCTTGAACCTCCTTTAGGGATCGGAGTAATGAGTGCGCACTTCCGTTCTTCCGGGAGCAGGCCGTCTTCAAAAGACTTTTTAAATATTGCAGATAAGGGTTTACACGGTTTACTAGCAAGTTCTCGCAGTGCTAGTTCGGAAATTCTATCTGGGCCAAACGATCTGGCAGGTTTCAGCCGGATTAGGTTGTCCCTAACTATGGTCGATGAAAAGAGTGGTTCCTCGGTTAAGGAGGGTATGGAGGGTGTAGGAGGCGGAAGGGTACTAGAAGGAGAGTTTGGTTGGCGAACGGATGGAAAGGCAAATAGAGAACTAGGTTCCACAACATTTGAAAGGGGTTGCCCACCCAGGACGTATTGAAAGGTATCGTCTTCATTACTGGTATTTTTGAAACGGAGTCTCAGGACCACACATGTGTCCACGTCAAAATTAAGCAGCCAACGAGCTGACCAACTCTTCAGACGGTTGAGATTGTCTTGAAGCGCCTACCCGTCCGCGTCAGCCCTGATGGCTCTCCACAGCTCAACATCGTCAACAAGCATGATGGCGCTGCATTCCAGGTCGTCGACACAGTCGTTAATGTAAACCAGGAACAGCAACGGCCCTAAGACGGGGCCCTGGTGTACACCACTTAGAACGGGGTATGAGTTGACCTCGAGGCCTCTACGCACACGGTTTGTGGTCTCCCGGTAAGAAAATCCGTTATCCATGTCACCAGCCTTCCTCTTATCCCAATTTCAGAAAGTTTATAGATAAGGTGTTTGTGTGGGACGCTGTCGAACGCCTTCTTGAAGTCCGTGTAGATGACACCGACCATATCATCCTCGTCCAGCGCGCGAGTTCACTGCTCCGTCGAGAGCAATAAACTGGAAATGCACGAGCGGTTCTGTCTGAAGCCGTGCTGCAGGTCTGATGGTAAGTGGTTCTGCTTCAAGAACTTCATTGTTGCTTTCCTAACTATGGCCTCCATTATTTTACGACAGATGCAGGTGGGACTAACAGACCGGTAATTGCTGGCATTAGTGCGAGCCCCGCCCTTGCAAGCAAACTTGAACAGGCTCGAAGACTGGTCGAAGCGCTGGCTTATGCCCTTCAATATAAGCAAGTGTAACTTTCTTCAACTCGGCGGCTTCAGAGCCCCCAGCCCCAGGACCTACTTTCTAAACGGCACACCACAGCAACAGGTTGACAGTCAGAGGGACCTGGGTGTATGGATTACATCTTCACTCAAACCAACACTGCACTGCGCGAAGGCGGCTAAATCGGCTACGGCCACATTACAACTCATTAGGCGAGCATTTATGGGTTTTGACCCTGACTGCTTTTCCAAAATATTTGGCACCTTCGTGCGACCTCATCTAGAATACGCCATACAGGCGTGGAAACCCTGGACTGCCAAGGATTATACCGTCTTGGAGAAGGTCCAGAGACGGGCGACCAAAATGACACAAGGTCTGGGAGCACTGCCCTATGAAACCAGACTGTCAATCCTAAACCTGTTTCCCCTTTCCTACAGGCAATTACGTGGTGACCTTATACTAACATTTCGCATCATCAACGGCCTAGACTGTTGTTTAGATCCCACTGATTATTTCACCCAAGCTAACACGCCCAATTTGCGCGGCCATCCCCTAAAACTACGCGCAGGGAAATCAAGAACCAATGGACGAAAGTCCTTTTTCAGTAACAGAGTGGTTGCAGCCTGGAATGCCCTGCCTACCGATGTTGTAACCTCCTCCTGTGTGAACTCCTTCAAGTGTAGACTTGACCTGCATCAAGCTTCCCAATTACCACCCCCACATCCACTCGCATAACGTGGTACCATCTTATATGTGTTTATACTACTTGTAATTAGTAAGTAACCATTAATGATTACTCTTTTTCGACTAGCTGCCAGCTGTCCGCGAGTATGTACAAAATCCCTTTTTCACCTTCCCATTTATCAATGTTTTTCTCCGACGACTTGTAACCAAGAGGGAAATCAAAGGCGTTTGCCTATATTTCCCTTAATAAACTGATACTGATACTGAATATTTGCTGTCTTTCATTCTGATGGCAGCCTTCCTAATTCGAATGACGAGCGGAAGATATGTGCCAGTGGTTTGGAGAGTTCGTTCGCCAATTCTTTCAAGAATTTGGCCGGTAAATTGTCCGGACCCGAGGACTTTATTTCTTTGAGATTTTGCAGCTCTCTTTCCACGACAGCTGTCGGGAACAGTATGGAGTCAAGCACGCGATCAGCAGTCTCAACAGCATTGCTGGCACTGCGACTGCGAAACTCCCTTTTCCTAGTAAAAATCGAGGCATAATATCGTCCTAGGCGTTCGGCTTTTCCACTATTCGCAATGATTTCTACACCATTATTATCTTTCAGCACTGCGACCGGGTCCTTGTTTTTCAGTCTACTGTTAAAATAGTGAAATAAATTCTCAGGCTTCTGTTCAGCCTGTCGGATAATTTTGGATTCATACCCCTTCCGTGCCTGACGGATACATTTTTTGACTGCATTTTGTTGACGACGAAATTCTCCAAAGTGCGCTGGTAACGCAGGAATCCACGATGCTATTCAACCAAAAAGAAACAGAACCGATTAACCGTCAGAGGCAGCTTGAATTTACGAACAGATTCCGAAGTCCATACCCGGCCAGAATAGAGCTCATATCTGCAGTGAGACATAGCGGAGTATTCAATCCATACTAAGCGCTGAAGCAGAACGTGGTTGCCCAGAGAGCACCAAAAGGGAGGAAAAAGCGAACAGTCTGTCATGCAGCCTTAAAATAAAAAAGGCCGCAAACGAAAAGACAAAATGTGGGAAGGACAAGGTCACCAATGAAAGCCTTTTTAAGGACATGGTCAAACAGCTCTGTGACGGTGCCAAAGAGACAAACACAGGAACAGAGAAAAATATGGGAAAAATACAAATGGGCCTCTTATTTCGCCTATGCAAAAGGTACGGCTGTATGTTCGCATTTATGCTACTCGGCCACATGCGCATCCACGCGAACCCGCCGTTACAACATGGTCGGTCATACTCAATCATTGCATGTCTCCTCACCAGCACATATACCTCACACGAACCCATCCCTCATCAACCATCACAAGCATGGAATCGGCTCCTTTCCAGCATGTGGGAATTGCCCTCACTCGTTCCTTCTCTGTGCGCCCCCCCTCCCCTTGGTATCCTGACGTATGCGGACCCGCGCATTTTCTCCTCACTTTACGTGAAATCCTGGCATGCTCCGTGAGGGCCAGAACATGTGTGTGGGACACAGGCAGATGGGCAGATATTTCGTCTGCATCCCACAACCGGGCGCACTCGACAGAGGACCAGCGTGTGCGGGAGGGAAGAAGGAGAGAGGTTGACTCCCTCGACATATATTCCTGGTTATTAACAGACCGACGCACTTGAATCTATTGTCATACGATAAATGCACTGGCTCAGAAGGCTGCCGATTGACAAGACAACCCGGTCGTTTTTTGGGGCGGGGAACTAGGCCCCAATGTTTCCTTCCATATGTGGCCTTTATGGCATTCCCGCTGAGCTGAAGTCCGAGCGGCCCATCCCCGTCATTTATTGTGTGAAATCCTGGATAAGAAGTATGCTAACATGCGTGGGTGCGGGTTCAGGCCGTGCAAGTCGTCTTCATAGAATTAATAATTTTTTATTCAATATCCGTGGTGATCAGATCATAGCAAATAAAAATAACTTTCACATGAATTTTAGAACAGGTATACAGAGTATACACAATACTTAATTCATAGACATTTAATAAGTAGTATGTTACGAGGAACGATGAGCGAGCAGATAAAAAAACTCCTAACATATAAAAAAGGAGTAGGACTGGATTAACACTATAGGAGAAAAAACTCTCGCTCCAGAATATATCAAAAGCAGGTAGGACCGGCCTGCATGCGGCAGTGTATAATGGATTTAATGAAGGAGTAAGAAGGCGGGTCAGTCAGGATTGGCCTGCATGTGGTATTGAGTAAAAGGTTCGAAACGGACATCGTCAAAGCAGAATTCATATGCGGGATGAGGCCATTCATGTCAAAGTGGTGAATAGAAAACAAGTTTCGAGGCAGTAGGAACCCAGATGCCATCGCTTACAGTCAGCTTCGAGTCCAACCGAGGAGGGACAAGGGAGATGCGACCAGACTACTAGTATGTGGCGAATACAGAGGGTTCCGCCTAGAGTGTCGATAGAGCTCATTCTGTGAGGAGTACGATGCATGAACTGAAAAATCGAAAAAAATTAACATTTCTGATGAGGGATCCTAGGAAACGATATTACACACAAAAGAAAAAAATGTGAGCGAATACGGTATTTTGGTAGCCAAGTCCTAAATTCCCGGTGGCCCATTTTCGGTGTCATAGAGAAAGTAGTCCGGGAAGAATGAGGAAAATAAAAGTTTAATCGAGTCAGTATTCAGATACAGGCGTAGCCTTCTCTTAAATGTGTGCAGATTATCTGAATATCTTATATTTATTGGAAGTTTATTCCAGAGGAAAGTATACCTGGACGCGAAAAAAGCGAGCGCTTAGAGGTAGGGGGAGCGGGAGGAGGGACAATCAGGGCAGAGTTGCGAAGATTGTATGGGCGACTACTAGGGGTGAGTGCTAAAATCTAAGAGAGATTTGAACTATTATTAATGCGAAGGAGGAGACAGAAGCCTGCTTCCAGTCTTCGAACCCATAAAAACTCTAGGTTAGTTAGCTGGCATCTAGCTGAGTAGGAGATATTTGGATGTTCCGCACCTAAGAGTCTTCTAGTAAAATGTCCTTGAACATTGTCAATTTTTGAACAACTAATCTCGTTCATCAAACCAAAGAATGGGCAACAATACTCGAGAATGCGAAGTACGAACATTCGATAGAGCCTTAATTTAATTTCAGGAAGATGGAAATTGTAAAAAAATAAAGCCAGAGATCTGGGCAGCTTTGGCCGTAATTCTGTTAGCGTGTGACGAGAGATCAGGATTATTGGTGTAGCTCAAATCTAAGTCGTTGATGGTGGTACATTCAGTCATGTGTGTGCCGTGAAAGACCACTGGTTGGCATAGCCTATCAGGTGCAAAACACATATGGCGACATTTAGACGGAGAGAATTCCATTAGGCATTTTCAGCTCTAAACTGAAAGAGCAAGCAAGTCAGCATGGATTTGCTGCAGGCAATGAAGGCTCGTAGATGTATTGAAAGAATACACACATTTGAGATCATCACCATAAATAGAAGATTGAGAAAGTTTAACTGCCGATGAGATATCATTTATGTACAGCAGGAACAAAGAAGAATCTAAAACGGTTTCTTGTATGACACCACTTACAATAAGGTTCTCATTGGAAAATGAAGATAACACTAGAACCTTTTCTTCACGATTATATATCTGTACTTTGGGATTGCGAATTTCCAGAGCTTCTGATTTAACCACGAGTTTTTTTATTTGGCACTTTATCAGAGGCTTTACTTCGATCAATCTAAGTAACGAACGCAGATAAATGGTCATTACGAAGAGGAGTGAGTGGCTTGAGAAACGGCAGATGACATGTTTCAATGAGCGATCTGGTAGAAAATCATTCTGGGAAGAGCTAATAACTTGATTGACCATGCAAAAGTCGGTAATTTTCAAGGCCATAAGTTTTTAAAAAGATTTTGACGAGAGAATGTGGTTTATAGACACCTCCATAGTTCTGAACATCAGATCGAGAACCAGACTTAAATACTATAACAAAAATGAAGTTTTGCAATACTCAGGGTAGAAGACATTTACGAGGAATACCGAGAAGAGTTTGCTAAGCAGAAGAGGAAAATTTCTTATCTGTTTTATAAGAGAGTTTTGGACATTTTCCGTACCTACTGCGTGTGAGTTCGGAACCTATTTGATCAGTTTTTGTGTAGGTTCCGGAGAAATATTAATGATGCTCTGAGGGTCATCACACAACAGATGAGCTAAGGGGATTGGCTTGGATTCAATGGTCAAATGTTTGGCTAAAAAGAATTTAGAATTTCCGCTTTGCCTTACTCCTTTTTAATGAGGGCATCTTTGCTGCTATTGATGATGATAATTTTTTATTTAATGCCAGTTTACAGGCATTGTAAAGGGGATCGTTAATCACCAATCCGACCAGCAGTGAAAATAACTCCTAAGGAATAAACATAAATTTAATGGTGGTGTTTATGGTTTGGTGGGTCCAGGAGAAAAAACTGCTGGAATGGCTAGTTGGGACTTGGCTGTTGATCTTTGACTGGAGATCTGAGCAACTGGTTTAGAACCACTCACACCATTAATAGCTAAATACAGTCTACGCCTATCTCGCGCGAGCCTCATTTTCGAAGCTAATTCAAATATTTCAAAGACTCTTAGATGAACTGATAATGAGCTCACAGAGGGATCTTTAATCTGATTCTGTAGTTTTTCAGTCTGTTTTTATGAAAGTGTGGATCTGCGGTGGAAGTGTACTCGTTTTATATGTCTTCTTTGGAATTAATTCACGTAAATCTTCTGTTACGTATTCTAATGAATTTTTAAGAAAATGTAAACGTCGTCCGTGGAATAGGTCAAGAGGACCTTCTGTTGCGCATTTTAATAAATTGTTGAAAAACTCTGGATTATTATTTGAATAACCTGAAATACTACACGCAATGGCTACGGTTGTGGTCAAGAATCTTAATCATCTGCCTTACGAAACCAGGCTGACCGAACTAAGTCTGTTTCGTCTCACTTACAGGCAACCGCGCGGCGATGTCATTTAAACCGACAGGATTGTTAGATGCCGTGAGTGCGCTCTAGACTTAGATAATTTCTACTAATTGTCCGGGACTGACCGTCTGTGTGGTCATTCCTTCAAACTGCAGAGGGAGCTGGCTCATTCGGACATCCGACGAAACGCCTTCTCTCAAAGAGTCATTGAAGCATGAGACGGACTCTTTGATGCTGTGGCTCTTTCCGAAACTGTCGAATCATTTAAGTGTAGACTAGATGCTCATTTGCTGAGAAACTACTGTACATATAATCACGATTGTTTTAGCGGCGGCAGTTTGCGCCTGGCTCACACTTACTGTTGACTTTTGGATTTCCACACTTGCTGATGTTATTATTTATTCTATTTCTGTTTATCTAAAGCCTCCTTCCCTTAATAGACTGACTTAAGTGGCGCCGCTATCCAAAAATCCGTAAACGTTCGTTTCCAAATTTCCGATTTTCCTTTGAAGGACCCAACCTCGACCGTTGACACAAGGCCCTCCTTTCCATGCATACATTTCCAGTTCACTCGTAGCAAACGTAAGGATTGTCTTTGTTTGAATCCATAGACGGGGTTTTTTTCTGAAGGACGGCAAGCGGAAGTGGAGTTTCATTTCCCACTGTTTGTGGCGAACGCGGGTGTTCTCATCGCCTTTGGGACCCGTGACCATTCAGCGTGATCCCTGTAACTACGCTGCTTGAATTACTGTTTATTTCCCACTCACACACCTACCCCAAATAGTATATACTGTCCTATCGGTGAAATACCTCGATCAGATCTGATCGTATACTTATCTGTTTTAATTATCAGGTGTGCGCAATGCTCGGAGGTAGAACGGATTCGTTCCTTCCATCTGCAGACCCGAGGATGACTTCTGCCTCAGATCGGACAGACGACGTGCCGACTACGCCTTCACACGTTGTACGGATCAAGGATCTGTCGGGCTCGACTGGGGAAGTAGCGTCCTCCGCAAACGGGGCGCTGTCTCAGCTGGAAAGGCGTTCTAATATGCCAAAAGTAGCCCTCGGTTCGGCTTTGGGAATGTAAGCCGTCTGCACAACTATTGTGTCTGATTTAGCGCCACGGGGTATATATGTGCCAAGATCGGCAAATCGGTCATATTCCTCATCGGAGTCGTTATGATCGCCCTTCAGGTGATTTTACAGTTCCTATGCTCCCAAAGATTTTTTAATTTAAAAAGTTCTTTAGATGATCTAAGTGGAGTCAATTAGTCAGTTTCTAGTGAGGTGTGAAAGCACGGAATTTGTCCAAAAGCCAAGGACTCCTGAATATCTTGTTGGTCTCGCCCTGTAGTATGTACAGATGCGAGATCCAAGTCAAGCACTGGAATAGTCATCAAAAATCTGCAAACGTTGATAAGTGTCAAGGTATCGGGCATACGGACAGCCCTAGTCTGTTAAAAGCTATGCGTCAAGAGCGCCAACACCTAGATCTGACGATAACTTGACGACCAAAATGTGAAAGACAGAAGTATGGGAAAAGTTGCGGAATTCAGGGAGACACTGGAAAACGTAAGTGGCGCTGGCGCGTATAAAACGCAAAAGCGAACGACCTTTTCGGAGTAGCGTAGGGCGCAAAAACAATTTCATACAAGGAGTTATATTGTTTAACCAATGTGGCGGTCTCTGCTTCTGGATAGTTGCCCTTTCCCAACCAAACGCTTTTCCATTCATTCGACTTATTAACCTGTGTTGTCCTTTCTATTTGTTTATTTCTCCAAGAGCGTCCTTTTTACCGCACATTAGCAGTTCAACAATATACCATCAAATGGCATACAAGAGCCGTTTGTACAAATATACTAACCCGGTTGAGCTTTAAAAAGCCAACTTCTAACTTTTATCGCTGACATCCTAGGCACTCCACACACTTAATCCTTATCAATCGGAGCGAACCGTTTTCTCTTAAGAAATAAACGTTCTCCGCATTTACGACCCCTAAGTTATTCAGAAACCTTTTTGAAACTTATTTCCATTTGTAGTAGTGCACCACATTGTTTTAAGGGTCACACCGCTACTACGCACTTTTCTCGTTTTCTGTTTGTGGTCCCTCCGTTGGGCATGGGTACATCAAGGTTAACTCCGCGAAGTTTTAACTTGATATTTTGCGTGCGTAAACATTCTTGTCGCCCTCGTATTCACAACCCTCCTTCATAATCAAGGACATTTTATGGCAAAAACTAGTCCAAACAACTAAAACACCTTTACCGTCTTTCGGTTGTCCTTTGATGTTTACCTTTGCTAAATACGATGCCTGTGGACTTTTCTCCTCATTGCCAATAGAAGCGAAGAGCCGAGTCCCAGGGAGTAGTCTTGAAGAAGGAGACACGATCGCCGGGACAAGAGCTTTATTAGCCTGACGTTTCGGATTCCTACTCGAATCCATCATCAGAGACAAAAGAGCAGAAACGGGTGGTTGTTGCACAAGGGGCTGCGGTATTTATAGGATGTGGCAGCCATGCTACCGCATACCTATGACCGTTCACGGCTTCCCCCTTCATCCGGGGTTGTCACACTTGGTGTGATCATTGCTTGATGGCCGACATTCGAGTCGATAATTGCTGCAATTTCATCACGTGCGTTGGATGTTGGCGTGATGATTGCTCGACCATCTGACGCGTTGACCCGGGTGTTGGGAAGAGTGTTCACCAGTGCGCTCCCCGCGTGGCCAATTACTCCGCCTAGACGAAGTCTCAGCACGCACTCCTCATATTAGTCAGAGGTTGTAAAGTAAGCACTTTACGGCCGAGTGTAACTGATTAAAATATGATAGTAGAGGGTAGGTCAGATATTTCCTGTTCTCAAATTTGATTATGCGAAGCACCACGCGTCTGTTAGTTTTCGTCTTGTAAACCGTCTCCACTGGCAGCCAAACCGTTAAAGACCAGTCAGTTCGAGACGAGCAAAATCAGATAGTCACTCTGGAAGACTATATGCATTAAGAATTAACTCCTGCATAATGAGCTTAACGTCCACTCCTTCGGTTTTGAACACGTCCGTTAACACTAGAGTAGAGACTTGTACACGTGTTGCTAGGTTCATGATGTTTAGGCCCCAAATTAAGGTGGAGGGTCTGTTCCTAAATTTTAAGTCCGCTACCTAGCCTATCATAGCCATCAACATGCCTTGTGAATAAATTCCGGTTGGATCACGTTTTGCGATGGAAGTATCAGAGCATCTTTGCTCCCTAGCCAATGCTTACGAATAATACTATTCGTTAAAAGATTGCTTGCCTTTTACCTTACTTTAATGTTTGCCTCAGTTCAGTTTTCGTGGTCGGTGAAAGTCCCTGAAACTGTTATCTGGATTCAAACTCGAAACTTCACTCATCTTCATCTATTCTTTCTCTCAAGTTCTTCGAGGTACCTCAACGGCTGTTAGTAGACGGACAACAGATGATGAACGGTGCCTGGTCTTTCCTCAAACAAACTGCGAAATTTGACGAGCCCGTAAGCACTGCCATCTAAAATAGATTTGCATGTTTAGCGGACTTTAAACCATCAGCTGAATCGGGTTTTGTCTGCGTTTCTCCCTGTTTTTCGATTTTTGATGTATCGATAATGCTTTAATGATCTCTGAACAAGGCCCTTAACTCTCATCTATGTAAATGTGCTTAAGAATATTTGTCACTTTTCCATCTAGTTTCCAATTCGTCGGCGTTTGTTGTTTGAGTTTTTTCTCTTAACCGGGGCGTTCATAGACGAAATTGTATTTTTGTTCTCGAATCCAACCATCGACAGATACTTTAATTACTTATTTCTTCATCTGTTTTACTAAATCTCTTCACCGAGGTACCCAAAGAGCTTATACATACGTTCTTATCAAGTGTCTGCGCACATGACCTCGATCATTACGGTCTTCTAGGCACCGTCAGATCGGGACACTAAAGTTGCCGCCCCAAATGCACTAAACCAGCATTGCAGTCACAGTCAGTCTAGAAATTATGAATTACTCTATGTTAATTCCTTGGTGCACCTAGTGCCACAATAGTAACACTTCACCGTCATGCGAGCATTCTGTTACAGTTGACCTCGTGGAACCAGGGCTCCAGTTAAGCCACTTTCTGCTTTCCGCCTGGCTGTTAGCAGCAGTCCATAACTCCTGTCATGGATCGGGAGTAGCTGTCGCAGACTCAGTCTCAGATCATTATTATTCCGAGTATATTGGTTCAGATAAGATGGAAATTTATCTGTGTGTCTTGATCTCTTGACTAACCCGCATCCTCTACTTGCGAGTATCATCTAGACGGACCTATGGTTCACACACGACGCATGAAAGTCTTGTAATGCCGCCCAGTAAGGTTCCACTGACTCAAAGCCGGTGAAATTTGCCATTTCACCGGTAGACTCGAGGCAATACCTGGAGGCACCTTACTCTGAACCTCTGCTCTGGTCACGAGCCTCGAAAGCGTATTATGGATAGTCGCCATCTTCCGTAGATGAGTAGTTTTCGTCCGAATTCTCTGTCGACCCGAGACTTTGTTTGTGTCGTTGGGCAGCATTATAAAAGTTTGGTTCCCCTTGCTTTTATAATCTCCGGCACAATACCTACTTTTTCCCATTCTCTTGTAACGGAATTCGCTCATCTGCTACTGCCTCCGGTTTTTCAGAAAGTTCTCTTCCAATACAGAGATTTCTCGTCGGTTTTTTTCTCGGGGGTGCGCGAATGAAGCTGCTTAACAAGTTGTGTACTTTTCAGGCCCTGAAATTACCTATTTCGAACAACCACCTCTTTCGTAGCGTCACCAGTTCCCGTATCTGAACTTTTGCTTTAATAGTTTGTTTGACGAGTTATCCTAAAATCACAACTTTTGCCCTTTCCAAAGCAATCACAACGAATTTATGAAAAGGTCAGTTTAATTTACTCTGGTTTCACTTGTGAGCACTAATGTCATTACTTTGACGTTTTTGTGCTGTCTACATTTTACCAACGCCTATTTCACTTTAATTTTTTCTAATTTTAGGCCGCCAGTCTTTTTCGCGAGAACCAGGTATTCTTCAGATCCTTCTTCGGTGGATTCCTTATCGGATTGTCTTTCTTCTAAGCTAGCTACTCGGACTGCCCCAGACATATTCTGTCATGACTTCAAAGATTCTCCTACGCTAGTTTTATGCACATTGAAATGCTGATTTCGTTACTTCTATGTTTATGTGACTGTCAGATTAGTGTGACAGTTTGTGTTCATTCTGGAGGCACTCACAGTCGCCTCAGGCCGTCTTTCATCATATCTCATTTTTAAATTTTAATATATATATATAGATGCAAAGATCACAGATCCTATTTTTATGACTATGCGTTAATTCACCTTCTTCGCTCTTTAAGTATGTGCAACCAGGTGGGAGGCTTACCTTGAAATAAAGGTAGAGAAACAATTACTCGACTACGATAGGCGGCGAGGTTCATGGACTGATCGACAGATTATGCAGGGTGGAAGCAACCCCCATGCAATGCTGTTGAAGCCACGTGAAATCGGTTCGAGGTAAGTCAGTGGATGTACGAGGGGTCGGTCATGACTCCTTAACAGAGGTACAGTGAATGACCGATCTCATGAAATGTTGGCCAAAATTCTGAAATGCGTTTTTGATTAGGAAGGATTACTTAAGTAGGATTGTAGTACTGATTATCATGCGACGTAATCCTATGGTATTTCAAACTTGGCAAGATGTCGGCTTTTAAATGCATTTCTTTTCAATCTCCTGTAGAAACCGCACTCTGTAAAAAAGACTACTTAAGTACCATGCATTTTTCACATTGATTTTCGATGGTCTTATAAATTCAAATATATTTCATAGAAATCACGATTAAAAGTATGCATTCTTTTGGTCGTTTGATAGGGAATCACGTCCTGAAGAAGGAGACACGATCGCTGACGTTTCGGATTCCGAAACGTCAGGCTAATAAAGCTCTTGTCCCAGCGATCGTGTCCCCTTCTTCAAGTCTGCTTCCTGGGACTCGTCTCTTCGCTTCTTTTGGCAGAGAATCACGTCATCGTTATATTTGATATTCGAAGAAGGAGTATAATTAGGTTTTTAAAAACTTTTCTGATTCCCGAATAATTTGGAGCCTGGTCAGTAGTTACCTTAGCGCTTAATGATTCCAGTCTGCAAGGTGCATGCGTTCGGCATAAAGAAAATCACATATTCTCCTATGCGTTTAACAAGATACCATATAGAGTCCATAAAATTTTGCAATGGATTCGGACCATGTTGTACATTTCATGAGGAGCTGTGGTAATCGGACAGGTACGATGCTGTATGAATGGACGTTACACGGTCTAAAAAATCTCACAATTAGAATTTGAATTTGCGAGACCATCGAAAGTCAATCGGAAAAATGCATGCCAAATAAGTAGTCATTTTCGACTGAATACAGTATCTACAGGAGATTGAAAAGCAGCGCATTCAAAAGCTGGCGCTGCACGATCTTAGAAATCTCATAATTAGACACTTTTTAAAACCTAATTATACACCCTCTTTGAGTACAAAATATAAAGATGACATGATTCTCTGTCAAACGACGGAAAGAAAGCATATTTTTGTTCTTGGTTTCCATAAAATATATTGTAGTTCGCAAAACTACCGAAAGTTAATGGAGAAGATGCCCGCTAATCAAGTGGTCATTTTTTGGCCTGTACGGTTTTTGCAAAAGATTGAAAAGCAGTGCATTCAAAAGCTGACATTCTGCCGAGTCCGAAATATTATAGAATTATGCCGCAAGATAATCAGTATTACAACTGCGTCTAAGTGATCCTTCTCAATCGAAAACGCATTTCAGAATTTCAGCCAACATTTCATGACAACGGTAACTCACTGTAGTGCCTAATCTGCGCACATAGAATATATTCATCACCCAAAGGCACTAGACCGTTGGTTTTTGCGTTCCACTCCCCAAATTCGCTTCCCCCACCGTGTCTTAAATGAATGATTATGGGACAACTACGGTAGGCGATGGTTCAGACATGCACTATGCCAAACCGACGGCTGGGTCGCCCTCCGTTATTGTGGTTGATGACCAGTGAGTTAGCGTGTCAAAAGGTGGCCTTGAGCAGAGGTCGCGACATACGTAATAGCGGCTGAAATACTGTAGGAGGTATATGCCGACTGCACTTACGCCATCTCTTCTTGGGCCACTTACCGGCTAGTGGGACATGCAGGCTCCCCTGCGATTTAACTGCTTTGTTGTCACTGACTGCCTACATGGTTGCCCTGCATGGGGAAGTAGGTTTTGCAAATGTCAGAAGCCTCTGTCTGTGCATGGCTAACAAGCAACTGTTAGAGAGGTGCGTGCATTTGGTAGCCTCTCTGCCATCTCGTTCCTAAAACGGTGCGGCACGTGAAAAAAGCAAGTCTAAGTAGGGATTTAGTTTATAATTCCGCCGCCATTACAGATTGTCTGCAGGTCAGTTGTATTCGGCAGTTGTCCTGACGCGCATACTTTCCACCCATGAAAGTGTCATTGGAGGGAATGAGTCGGAATTACGGTCGACGGTTGTTTTATGCTATTTGCCTGCTGTTTTTGACCAGGCCGTGAAGAGGACTTCTGTTGTGTCAAGGTTTCGACCAGCTAGGCTTCACTCACACGAAGGTGTCATGAGGCTTCCCTGTCCAGACGCGTTCCCTACTGTTATTTTGTCTTTCAGACTAGCAGACCAACAATAATGGTATCGGATCGTCTGCCAAACAAAGGCATCCCGCATGTACTCCTCGGCACTTCTCGGCTGCATACAATGTTAAGAGAGGAGAGGAATTACAAAAACCAGAATTTCTGCGGTCTACGGACTGCCGAAATCTGCTCTAAATTCTCTTCCCCTCCCCAAAACGGCAGCAAATCAGCGAATGACGTGTCTGCGCCTTAGTATAGTACCGGTGTTGGGACGTGTGACAGAAGCATTCCCCTGCATCATGAATACTTTCAGCCTTTCCTCATTCGCCGAAATAGCAGTCGGTCCAAGATCCCATTCTGGTTAGCCGATCGTTCTTGTCCACATCAAAGAAGTTCAGAGTGATCAGAGCCTTCAGATGACCACTTAACCACACAGAGCGCACAAACAAACAGAAGACCCTGAAATGAATAAAAAAAAATTAGAAGTGGAAACGGCGTAAGTCAGCTGGTGGAGGGAGAGCCATAGGCGCCAAACAAGTTGACTGTGTTGAACGGACGCTTTTGACGTATCAGGCATCGCCAGTCAATGATACCAGCAAGTTATGATGTCCCAATTTACCCGTCAGGATTTTATGCTCGTTACCAGGCCGCGTCTTGTGTAATGGGGACTGGTCTGACCTTACCTAGTTCAATACAAGATCGAAAGGCCTTCTTTTTTCTACAGATAAAATGGACAGCCGAACGTTACTCACATTCGCTGTTTATATTCGTAATCTCAGCTAACAGAAGGCAAACCCTGTGGATCAATTGGGTAAAACGTTTGCCCTGGACCCTGAATCCCTACTGTACCAGTATTCGGGGCTGGAATATCAGTGAATTGCCAATAGAAGCGAAAAGACGAGTCCCAGGAAGCAGTCTTGAAGAAGAAGACACGATCGCCGGGACAAGAGCTTTATTAGCCTGACGTTTCGGATTCCTGCTCGAATCCATCATCAGAGACATAAGCAGATAAGGGTGGTTCATGCACATGCGGCTGCAGTATTTATAGGATGCAGTAGCCATGCCACCGCATACGTATGAATATTCACGGCTTCCTCCCCTTCATCAGGGATCGTTGCACGTGGCGTGATGGCCGATATTCGCGTCTTTAATTGCTGCAATTTCATCACGTGCGTTGGATGTTGGTGTGATGATTGCTCGACCATCTGACGCGCTGACCCGGGTGTTGGGAAGAGTGTTCATCAGGGCGCTCCCCGCGTGGCCAATTACTCCGCCTAGACGAAGTCTCAGCACGCTGTATTGAATGGGAAGATCATTGCACTTGTTAATAGACTGGGGGCCAGGGTCTGGTGCAGTTGCGGACAAAGCAAATATGTCGGAGAAACCGGAAGATAGCTCCGAACGCGAATGGCCGAGCACGCTGCGGCGGTGCGGAGAAATGACGCCAGCTCTCAAGTTGCGGCTCATACGACGAGATCCAGCCACACATTCAAATTCGACGAAGCCGAAATTCTCGCAAGAGGTGAAAACCGCGTGGGTTGTGCGCTGCTTGAGTCATTGTTAACTGGCCCCCAGTCCATTAACAAGCGCAATGATCTTCCCATTTCATACTCGGTGCTGAGACTTCGCATAGACAGAGTAATTGGCCACGTGGGGAGCGCGCAGTTTAACGCTTTTCCTAACACCAGGGTCGGTGGGTCAGATGGTCGAGCAGTCATCACACCAACGTCCAACGCACGTGATGAAATTGCAGCAATTAACGACGCGAATGCCGGCCATCAAACAGTCAGCACATCAAGTGCAACGATCCTCGATGAAAGGGGGGAGCCGTTAATATCCATATGTATGCAGTAGCATGGTGACTGCATCCTGTAAATGCTGCAGCCCTTTGTGCATGAACCCCCCGTATCTCCTTTTGTCTCTGACGAAGGGTTCGAGCAGGAATCCGAAACGTCAGAATAATAAAGCTCTTGTCCCAGCGACCGTGTCTCCTTCTTTAAGATTCCTTAATTTACCCACCGAATGTAAATAGGAGTGGTTACACTACGCTCCGAACAGAGCATTTATTTACTCCAAACAGACGGTCAGCGAGACCAGGCGTTTTTTAAGCCACGAATTCTTGCTACCTCCACCTCCAGTCCACAAGCCGGGATCTGTTTCGGTTTCCAATTAAACCAATTATTATAATAATTTTTGTGTTCAAATCAATTAATTGACCCCATCAGGTCGGTGTCAACAAAGCCTCACCCTGTTCCGCATTAACATCTGACATCAAAAAGCATTTCTCGACTCGCCAACAAATATCAACAGGCCTGGTTAGCCCATGTTCCGGACATGTTACGCAGTCATCCCAAACACACAATGAGCGAGATTAAACCTTATTTATTGTTCACCAATAGTTAAACCATGATTTTCTGATCCATTCTCCTCCAGTTCGCGGTC